AGGCCATCTGTACTGATGACCCACTGGGCCTGTATGACTGCAGCAAGCCCCTGCAGCTCTCCAGGGGGCTTCCCTGAAGCACTTTGCACCAGATTTGATGTTAGAAAGCAACTTCCTGCCACCTGTAAGGAAGATTGAGAGTTCAAGGCCAGCCTGGGCTATAGAGTGAGAACTTTCCTCAAAAAAAAAAAAAAAAAAAGACTGTAGGAATTTTTATGTTAATCTGTATATGTTAAAAGGTTTTTCCATAATAAAACATTTCCATAAATAAGACCAAGGACTGGGAATATAGCTCAGTGGTAGAGCACATGCTTAGCATCTATATGCAAGGTCCTTGATGGGTTTTTTTGTTGTTATTATTATACTGGGGCTTGAACTCAGGACCTACACTTTGAGCCATTGTACCAGCCCTTTTTTTGCAAAGGGTTTTTTTTTGAGATAGGGTCTTGAGAACTATTTTCCCAGCCTGGCTTTGAACCTTGATCTTCCTGATCTCTGTCTCCTGAGTAGCTAGGATGACAGGCGTGAGCTACCAGTGCCCAGCAAGGTCCTTGGTGTGATATCAAGAAGAAGAAAATGGAGTAGGAGGATACAGTGTCTCTGGCCCTAGAGACTCAGCAGGACAGCAGCTCTTACCAACTTCTTCCTTCAAAATCCTCCTTTGATCCCTTTATACTCTTGAGGTTGATGAGGGTTTCAAAAGTGGCCAAACGATCCAGGCATGGTAACACAGGCCTGTAATCCCAGCATTTAGGAGGCTGAGGCAGAAGGACTGCGAGCTCAAAGCCAGCCTGGTCTATATGGTCAGTCCCTGACTCAAAAAGAGTGGCAAAATGGGCTCTGGGCTGATTAATTTTGGATGTCAACTTCACTGGATCAAAGAATTGGTAGACTGAGAATATTTCCAGAGCAGATTAGCACATGAGTTTGAGTGAGGAAGTCAGCTCTCAGTGTGGGTGAGACCATACTGAAGTGAATTGGTCTTTCTCCAAGAACTGGGATAGGCTTTTTCGGTGCCTTGAACACCAGAACTACAGGCTCTCTGGCTGTTGAACTTGGCCCCTGTGCTCTCAGGCTTTTGACCTTGGTCTGAGAATTACAATATTAATGTCCCTGTTTCTGAGACTTTCAAGTTCATCTGAGCCATGCTTCTGGCATCCTAGGGTCTTCAGCCTGCAGATAGGTGATGACCTGTCACGGGACTTCTCAGCCACTAAAACTGGATGACTCAATTCCCCTAAAAATCTCTATCTATACACAGATCCTATTGGGTCTGACACTCTGTAGAGCACTAATAGTAAATTTTCTTTAAAAATTGTATTCTGGCCAGCAGCAACTCACTTTGGCATTCCATCCATTTTTTTCTAGAAACCTCAGTGGCAACTTATGACCTCCTGTCAGGCTCTCCATCACCTCAAGGCAAACCCAGACTCCTCCCCATAGCTACCAGGCCCTACATGACCAGATCCTTGAATCTCCACAGAAGTTTAAAATGTCAAAATACTGTTGGGTGCCGGTGGCTTGCGCCTGTAATCCTGACTACTCAGGAGGCAGAGATCAGGAGGATTGAGGTTCAAAGCCAGCCTGGGAAAAGAATTTGGTAAATCACATCTCAAAAATACTCAACACAAAACAGGGCTGGTAGAGTGGCTCAAGCAGTAGCACTCCTGCCTAGTGAGCATGAGGCCCAGAGTTCAAACTCCAGTGCCACCAAAAACTAAACTAAAATAAAATATAGAAATGAGTATATGTTAGTTATATAAAAATTTATGCAAAGTGAATACATTCCTAGAAAAATATGAAATGCTTAAGTTGGCACAAGCGTATCACGAACTTCAACATATCAGCACAGTAAAGAAAGTTGTAATCTAAGATGCTAACGTGAAAGAGGCCTGACAGACGCTTTATAGGGCAGTTCCACCAGAAGTACATGGAACAGATGGTCATTATCTTACACCAGTTGCTCCAGAAGCCAGAGAAGGAGAGAAGGATGCTCAGTTCCTTGTTTGACTCTCAAACCAGATAAGCAAAGGAAAGTACTCTGTGGAGCATTTCACTGTGGATGCAGACGTTAAGCTACAAAAAGACTAAAAATAGAAGGCTGTCCCACTTAGGAGTGGAAAAAGGACTTGTTAAGGCTCTTCAAATACAAACCTCTATTCACAACATTTAGGAATCTGACTCCATCAAAATGAAGGATTTTTCTTCCACAAAGGCCCTCAGAGACAATGTGGACAGACAGTTGATTGTGATTCAGGGAATAAAGAACTCCTGCGAGTCAACAGGGAAAGATGAGGAAAACTGTGGAGGGGCGGGGATGTGGCTTTAGTGGTAGAGCACATTCTTAGCATGTGTGAAGCCCTAGGTTCCATCTCCAGCACCAAAATAATAACAATAATAACAATAATAATAGTAATATTATTATTGTGGCCAAAGAAATAATCAGAGCATGATATGCCTTTTTTTTTGGCAGTACTGAGGTTTGAACTCAGGGCCTCACACTTGCTAAGCAGGCGCTCTACCACTTGAGCCACTCCACCAGCCTTCTTTTGCATTGGTTATTTTCAAGATAGGGTCTCATGGAACTATTTCCTTTGGCTGGCTTTGAACTGTGATCCTCCTGACCTCTGCCTCCTGAGTAGGTAGGATTGCAGGCGTGAGAAACCCCACCCATTTTTTAATCACAGGGTTGGGAAAAATTCATTAAGGTAAATTATATCAACCAACACTTGGTGAGAATGTTGGCAGACAGAAAACCTTGTCATTAAGCAATCTGAAATTGGCACGTTTGTGCACCACGAAGTCCTTGGTAAAATAATCCACAGCGCATCTCCTGCAGGTGCACAGAGAAGCATATGACCACGGTGTCCTTTGTAGAAGCAGGAGTTGGGAGTAGCCGTGAGGAGAATGGATTAGGTGAAGGGTAATGGAGTCAGAATGAACATGGGCACCTTTTATACGCATGGTGCTGAAAGAACAGAGTGAAAAATAAAGGTGAGATCAATACCACTTACACAAACCAAATACACATAATGCCCTAATATCAACTAAAACCACAAATACGCAAACATGACATTAGATATTTCACAAGGATCAAATCAGTTGGATGAGAAGATAAAGGAGAAACAAACCAAACCAAAATGAATAGGTGGCCTTGCTCCACTGATGCTTTTATATGCTTCGAGATAAGGAATCCAGGAAATTCAGCTCTCTGCTCTCAAAGACCAAAAGAAGAGGAGACATGTGAAAAAGTCACCAACAGGCCACTCACAGAGGAAGCATAAATGGTCCATTAAGAGAGAAATCCTAGCTACCCAGGAGGCTGAGATTGGGAAGATCATGGTTCGAGGCCAGCCCAGTCAAAATAGTTCATGAGACCTCATCTCCAAAATAACCAGAGCAGAATGGGCTAGAGGTTTGACTCAAGCAGTAGAGCACTTGCTTTGCAAACTCAAAGCCTTGAGTTCAAACCCTAGTCCCATCAAAGACAGAGAGACAGAGAAAGAGAGAGAGAAAAAAAAATACATAAATCTCACACATTATACAAGAGAATGCAAGTTACACCAATAATAAGAATAAATAGTTTACAAGACTCTATCCTCAACAAACCCATCATAAAAAAGGGCTGGTTGAGTGGCTCAAGATGGAGGCCCTGAGCGCACACCCCAGTACCGGAAAAAAAAAAGTATTTTTCGGGCTGGTAGAGTGGCTCGAGTGGTATAACACCTGCCTAGCAAGTATGAGGCCCTGAGTTCAAGCCCCAGTTCCACCAAAAAAGAAAAAAAGAATATTTTTCATGTACATGTCACATTAGCAAAGATTTTTTAAAATTGTGATACAAAACTTATAATACATTTTGCTGGTGAGGGTATAACACTGTTAACAGAAATCTACATTGATTGAACATTGAGGAGGAATAATTAGACACTATCAAAATGTAACTTGCTCACAGTCAGAGAGTTTGACACTCTTGTAGAAATACCCAGGTGTGCAAAGGTCTATTTATACGGACTTCCATGACTTTGCTCTACATGTGTAAAAGGGGAGCAGTGTGGAGCTGTGTCCATGTTTGAAAATACCCAAAACAAAAAAGGGCTAGTGGAGTGCTTCAAGTGGTAGAGCAACTGCCTGGCAAGCACGAAGCCCTGAGTTCAAGCCCCAGTACTGCAATCAATCAGTCAATCAATCAATAAATGTCATTTAGTAGTCACCATAACAACAAACATTGGCCAAATGGGTTGCCCCCGTGATTTCATTAGTCCTCCAAACAAATTTATGAGCTGGGCTCAAGACCCCAGTTTTTCAGGGCAGATAAGTAGTCACAGAGCTAGTGAGAGGGCAAGCCAGACCTCCAGCCCTGGTCTGTCCATCTTCTGGGCCTCAGCTCAGCACCAGGTACTAGTGGTTAGCACCAGGTGTCCCTGGAGGATTCAGCAAACCAAGGCTTCTTAGTAGTGTGGATAAGGCTGAAATGCTGTCATTCCCTTCAGAGCCTTTTCTAGGCTCTTATTTGTCTGCTGACTCTCTCTCCTGCACATCATTCAACTTCCTGACCCTGCCAGGGGCCAGGAGAGCAAGTGGTTTGAATAAGACTTCATGAAAGTTCAATTTGCCTCCCCAGGGCCTGGGCCAGGGCTGGAGGCAGGCCTCTTCCATTGGTCTGCCTCAGTCACCAATTGGGCATCTTTGTAGGACCTGAGGACCTTTCAAGAGGGCGAGTCCTAAGGTCCCTTTTACAAGAGATGGACAAATGAAGGCTGAGTGGGGGCAGGGGACTTACCCCAGGTCATACAGGGAGTCTGCAGCAAAGGCAGGATGTGGCCTGGGTCCTGCTGAACCCTCCCTCTGGAAAGAAGTGGGCTTCATATACCCTGGCTGAGCCTGAGCCTCACCTGGCCATACTTTGTGCCAGAGCCCTTCAGACTAGCCAAGGACTGGTTGCCGTAGAGATGGCCCTGAGGGTAGTTCCAGAGTAGTAGATGGGTGTGGGGTATGGGGAGGACATCACTATGCTAAACACCCACCAACAGTTGGTCAAGGCCACATCAGTAAAACCAAGGCAGAACCTGCGGTCTCAGACTCCAGGGACAACCACAGGGCTACTCAAGCTTCTATCCAGCCTCGCCCAGGCAGAGAAGGTGAGGGACCCGGGCCCGGGGTGGGGGAGGGAGAGGAGCTTCCAACTGCCCACAGGCAGGCAGGCATCTGGGGTCAGGGGAAGCCAGGGCTGGTTGGGCAGGGCTCCTAAGAAGCCGCAAGACTAGGAGCTCAGGCCTAGGCCCAGGTAACAGTCAGAGAGGGAGGCCTGGGTGGGACAGGGACCATGGAGGAAGGAAAACTACAGGATGTAGGATGAAGATGAGGGGTAATGGAGCAATTTAGGGAACACCATAGGGAGAATTGCCTTTCAGAAAATAAAATTAGGTCCTTCCACCTTGGCTTTAGCAAGCCTGGAGCCCTGTGGGACATCTGGAAATCTGGAAGAACTGATACACTTTGTTGTTGTTTTACAGTACAGAATTTGAACTCAGGGCCTAGAACTTGCTAGGCCAGGTGCTCTTCCACTTGAGCCATACTACCAGCCCTTTTATTTTGAGATAGGGTCTCACTGTTTGGCCCAGGCTGGCTTCCAACTCACAAGCCTCCCACCTGAGCCTCCTGAGTGATGGGATTACAGGCCTGTACTACCACACCCTTTTTTTTTTTTTCTAATTTAAAAAAGTCTTCATTGTTTCTCGATTGATTGTTTTTTTAAAAAGTATTTGTTCAAAATTTTAAAAATTTTTAATTGACACATAATTGTACATATGTGCACAATATGATAACTCAGTACATGTGTACAGTGTGTAATGACCACACAGGGTAATTAACATTTCCCTCTATTAAATACATACCATAGCTCTTTGTGTTGGCAACCTGCCAACTCTCCCCTCCCAGCAGAGCAAAGAGGACAAATGTGGGTTCTGGAGATTTGACATGTGCAGACCCTGGCTCTACCACTTCACAGCTATATGGCCTCAGCTCTTGGACCTCTCTGGGCCTCAGTTTTTCCATCTGCGTGATGAATCTCTGAGACTTCATTGATCTCAGAAAAGGTCACATCACCTTGGCAGGTGCTCAGGTGCGGTGACTCTTTTTTTTTTTTTTTTTTTGGTAGTACTGGGGTTTCAACTCAGAGCCTTGTGCTTGCTAGGCAAGCATTCTACCGTTTGAGTCAAGTCCCCTGCCTTTTTTGCTTTCAGTTATTTGGGGATAGGGTCTCACTTTTTGCCCAGGTTGACCTGGACTATGATCCTCCTATTTATGCTTCCTACAAAGCTGAGATGACCAGCACATACCACCATATCCAGCTACTGGCTGAGATGGGGGTCTCGCTAACTTTTGCCCAGACTGGCCTCAAACTGTAATCCTCCCAATTTCTGCCTCCTGTGTAACTAGAATTACAGGTGTAAGCCACTATGCCTAGTGGCTCTTGCTAGTTTAATATGAAGAATGGAATCAGTTTCAGAGGTTACCAGGGCCCAGGCAGGGTGCATGAACAAGAGGCCCCTGGGAAGGTACAGAGTGGTCCAGGAGGCTGCTCTGAACTGGCCTCCCCTCCTCCCTGCTCAGGGGAGTGGTGACCGTGTGCCAAGTCAAGACCAGCTAAAAAGATCTCAGAGCACAGGGAAGACAGTAAAGAAGGACCGTAGGCCCCGAGAAAGGAACAAGAAGGGACAAGGTTCTGCTGAGGCTGAGGAGTAAGCAGCTGGGGCTGGGCTAGGAGGGATGCTGGGGACCAGGAGGACCCTGCCCCTGACCCTCCCCTCTCCCTCTTCAGTCTCTTCCCTTCTCCTGCTCGGAAACCCTCTTTCCCCTTCCAGTGGGCCTGGGAGAGCTTCATCACAGATGGCCAGGCTCTGCTTCATTCAACCTCCCTTGAGGCCCCTGGCCACCAAGCCCTGTGGCCCTTGCCTTCAGCAGGCCCCCAGCTCAAGTCCAGGTGCAAATCCACAGCCAACCTCCCAGAGACCTTTGGCTTCTGCCAGAAATCAGAGGCGCAAAAGCAGGAGAGGAGACAGAAGCTGGGGACCGGTGGGTACAGCCTTCTCCTTCCTGGCAAAGCAGAGAACCAAGAGCTGGAGCCATCCAGTGAGTATGGCCTCTGGTCATCAGGGAGGAGGTCAGAATCAGGGTCAGGGTCAGGATCAGGGTCTGAGGAGACTTTGGAGCTGGAAGGCTTGTGTGTTGAGGAGACCGAGAGGGTTCTGAGCCCCAAGGAACAGCCCCAGTTCCCCAGGAGTGACTTAATCTTGGAAGAGGAACAGTTCTCAGAGGCGACAGAGGCTGAGGAAGGGGAGCATAGCACGCCCTACAGAAGGAAGGACAGCTCTCAGAAGAAGGGGCAGAATTCTGGAGAGGAGGCCTTGGAACAGGGGGAGCTTCAGGACGAGCGCCAGGGCAGCAGCTCGAGCTCCAACAACCTTCGAGGGCCGCAGAGGGGGAAATCAAGGGCCAAGGAGATGGAGGGGCCCTGGGACCTGGAAAAGCTGCACAGGCAGATACAGCAAGAGTTGGACTGTGGTGAGTGGGGTCCCAAATCCTGGGGTCCCTCCTGCCCAAAGTTACATGGGAGAGCCAGAGGGAGCCTGAGACCTGGATTGGGAATTCAAACGAAGCTGGGCTGGGCTCAGGGTGGTGGGTGGGATTGCTCTGTGGGCTGGGAGAGAGGATATTTTTTATTTGGTCCCATGTGGACAGGCTCCTCAAAGCAGACCTGGAAGGCTTTGCGGGCCGCTGTCCAGGCCTCCAACAAAAGTGAAAAGGCCCATACCTTGGGAGATGATGAAACTTTCCTGTCTGCCAACTTCCCCAATCGAACCTTCCACAAACGACAGGAAGCCACCAGGTGAGGGGGAAGAGCAAGAAGGATGGGACCAAGGGTGAGGATGGAGGATACAGTTTTCCAAAAGACACTTAGCCTCTTATATGCTCATTCATTCCTTTATTTATCCATTCACCAACATTTCTGATCATCCAATCATGTGCCCATCCACCCATCCACACATACATCCATTCATCCATCTATTCAATTTCTAATAACATCCATTCAGACATTCATCCATCCATCTCTCTATGTGGCCAACTGTATTGATACAAGTCACTTTCCATTTATTTCTCATCTTTTTTTTTTAATCCATTCATTAACCTATTGTCTAGAGTAATTAATACAATGTATATCATGTTTACTCATGGGTCCTCTGGATGTAAAGCTTAAGACTTGGCCCAGCCCTGAGAAGCAAATGGTCTGGAAAATGAGACAGAAGAGCAATTATATCAGTTCAGTTAGACAATTGCTACACTTGGGCTTGAACTAGAGTTCATGGTAACAGAGGGGAAGATTGGAGGCTGGCAGGGGGCTGTTGGCAGTGTCAAGGTGAGGAATGGTTAGAGCCTGAACCAGGTGGTTATGTGGATGGAGAGAAGGCATCCACTTCAGAGTTCTTTAGAAGCTGGGCACCGGTGGCTCATGCCTGCAATCCTAGCTACTCAGGAGGCAGATATCAGGAGGGCCGCAGTTCAAGGACAGTTCTGGCAAATAGTTCAAGAGACCCTATCTCAAAAAACCCAACACAAAACAGGGCTGGTGGAGTGACTCAAGTGGTAGAGTGCCTGCCTAGCAAGGCACTCTGAATTCAAACCCAAATTCCACGAAAAGCACAAAAAACCCCAAAGAGTTCTTTAGAGACCTAGGGGTGTGTATATGTGTGTGTGTATGTGTCTGTGCTCTCCAGAACACTAGACAAGTGTTCTACCACTGAATATCTTAGCCCTGTGACTGGTTAGAAGTGGCATGTGAGGAGCTAGTCAAGGTGACTCATGTCTGTAATCCTACCTACTCAGGAGGCAGAGATCAGAAGGATAAAGGTTTGAGGTCAGCCTAGGTAAAAAGTTCTTGAGACCCCATTTCAACTAATAGAGATGGGTGTGGTGTCATGTTCCTGGCATCCCAGCTACATGGAACATGTAAACAGGAGGGTTTGTGGTCCACACCAACCCAGGCAAAAAACATAAGACTTCATTGGAAAAATAACTAAAGCAAAAAGGGCTGGGGGTATGGCTGAAGTGGTGAGTGCTTACTTAACAAGTGTGAGGCCCTGAGTTCAAACCTCAGTACCACGTCCCCACGCCCCCCCCAAAAAAGAAGTGGCAAGTAAGAGAGGAGAAAATTCATTCAACAATCTTGTAGAACTTCAATCCTTTAAGTATTTTTATTTAATTCAAAATTTTATGTATGTTTTAAAATCCATATTCAAGCTAGCGTATGCATGACCTCACATACTTTGTTTTGTGAACACTTAAAATCTACTCTGTTAGTGATTTTCAAGCACACAATACATTATATTAACTTTAGTCCCCCTGTTCTACAATAGATCTCTTGAACTTATTCCCCTGTCTAACTGAAATTTTGTACTCTTGACCAACGTCTCATCTCCCCTGTCGTTCTGGCCCCCAGACCTTGGTAACTACTGTTTTATTCTCTACTCTTTTGTGTGTGTGTGTGTGTGTGTGTGTGTGTAAGCACTGGGGTTTGAACTCAGAGCTTTATGCTTGCTAGGCAGATGCTCTTACCGCTTGACCCACTCTACCAGCCTCTCTACTACTATGAGAACAGCTGTTTTAGATTCCACATATGGATCTGCATACCCTGCCTTCTTCCACTTAATAAGTCATTTAGATTCATCTGTGTTATTACAAATGATAAGATTCCCATCCTTATTTTTGTTTAAGAGAGTGTCCTGTTATTTTGCCCAGACTAGCCTCAAACTCACATTCATCCTGCCTCTTGAGTGCTGGGATTACAGGTATACACTACCACAACCAGTGGATTCCCATACTTATGTGTATATACCATATCTTTCTTTCTTCCTTCCTTCCTCCCTCCCTCCCTCCCTCCCTTCCTTCCTTCGGTACTGGGGTTTAAACTCAGGGCCTACACCTTGAGCCACTCTTTCAGCCCTTTTTTGTGATGTTTTTTTTTTCAAGACAGGGTCTCATGAACTGTTTGCCCAGGCTGATTTCGAACCACAATCTTCCTGATCTCTGCCTCCTGAGTAATTGGGATTACAGACGTGAGCCAACGGCACCCAACTTTTATTTTATTTTTTCATGGTACTGGGGTTTGAACTCTGGGCCTCATGCTTGCTAGGCAGGAGTGCTACTGCTTGAGCCACACCGCCAGTCCTGTTTTGTGCTGAGTATTTTTGAGATGTGATCTCCCAAACTGTTTGCCCGGGGTTGCTTTGAACCTCCATCTTCATCTCTGCCTCCTGAGTAGCTAGGATTGCAGGTGTGAACCACCAGCACCCAGCCATATGTGTTTTTTTATCCGGGTACTATGTTGCTTTGATTACTATAGTGTTGCAGTGTATTCTGAAATCAAGTAGCATAATTTCTGCAGTTTTATATTTCCTTAAGATTGCTTTGGCTCTCCAGGGTCTTTTGTGGTTCCACATGAATTTTAGAATTGTTTTCCTATCTGTAAAAAATGTCATTGGAATTTTTATAGCAATTGCATTGAATCTGATTGCTCTGAATAGTGTGGACATTTTAACAATATCAACTCTTCCTTTCATTCTTTTCTGTCACCCTCTGTTTAAAATCTTCCCATGCTTGTGGGTATCCTTGGGACAAAGCCCAGAGTCCTCAGTAAAGGGGCTCCAGCCTCCTGTGTCTACTGGTCTGAGTGGCTACAATGCCTCATGCTCTCCCTCCCTCCTGTCCTGGGATTACCCCCTCCTCATTCAGCCAGCTGACTTGGATGCATCCTTCAACTCCCAAGCCAGGCATCCCTCCAGGAAGTTCCGTGCTTCCCTCTGTTGCAACACCTGCCATACCAAGCCCACCTTTGCCCACACTGAGGGATCACTGAGGGCAGGCGCTAGATCCTGGCGATCACAGCCTCCCTGGTATCCTGCAAAGACTTGGCACTAGATGTGAACTAAGGAAATGGCTGTCTCTACCCTTTATTTGTCTCTCTGGCCATCTTTTTTTTATATTGCCATGATTCAATTTTGTGTGAGTTCATCAGTTATGTGAATTATGGTAGGCACTGTTCTAGGTACTGAGGATTCTCTGGCAATGCAAAGCAAGACAAAGAACCCTGGTCTTGGGACGCTTCCATTCTACCTGGGAAGAGGGAAGTAATGCATAGAGAAATGAACAAAATGTGTAACTAGTGATGGAGATAGCTAGGAGGTAGATGGGGGAGTTAGGGAAAGTCTCTCCGGTAGGAGTGACATTTGAATATAGACCTGATTGACACGAAGAAACTGGCCATGAGATCTGGTGAAGAATATTCTAGGTTATCTAGTTGCTGTCTATTCATCCACCCATACCTTTCATCCATCTGTTCTTCCACAAGTTCATCAACATTTTGTTTCTTTCCCATCCATTCATCTGTCTGTCCATCTGTCTAACTGTGCCTCAAACCATTAGATATTAACTTAGCTCCTACCAGATTTGGGGGGGGGGCGGGGCAGAGAAAAGAGCAAGATCTAGCCCTCCTTGAGGAGAACTGCTTTGCAAGAGAGGTCCCAGGGCTGTGTGCGGAACTCCGCAGGGGCTTGGGCAAACTGGGCCAAGGAGGTTCAGTGTGGAGCTCACTGCTGGAGAGGAGGAAAGGCTGGAAGCTAAGCCCAAAGGCCAAGCTGCCAGAGGCAGTCAGATCCAACTTCTATGACAAACCCCATTCTTTTTTTCTTCTGGACCTTGGCTCTTTGGGACTCACGGTTCTTCCCACAGTCCTTCCTCTCAGGTTCCCATAATACCCTAAGCCACCCCTGGCTCTCTTTGGAGTTCATGCTCCTGAAAGCTTCTCCCTTCCCTTTCCTTTCCTTCTCCCCACCCAGAAGCCTGCTGCAGTCCTGGGAGTGGCAGCAGCAGGAGGAGCGACAGCAGGCTGAGATTCGCAGGGCCCGGGAGCAGCGGGTCCAGCATCAGGTAGCTCGCTGCCTGGCGGCCTACACACCCCAAGGGAGCCGGGGCCCTGTGACAAGCCAGCGCAAGCTGGAGGAGCTGAGGTAGGGGCCTAGGACCATGGAGGACCTAGTGGGGTAAAGCAGGGTGTCAGGCTGCAGGATCCCAGGGCGTGCTGGCCAGAACAATGGGCTGCATTTTACCAAAGAAGATACTAAGGACCAGGGAGAAGGGCCTGGTCCAAGGACATCCAGTTAATGGTAACAGCACCTTCAACTGTGGAATGCTCAAATGTTCTGCATGCATTAGCTTTCCAAACCCATTTTTCTGATTTCCAGTGCCAGACATGCTTATTATAAAATCTTATACATACAAAAATAGTTAACGAAGGCCAGGAACAACCCTAATGAGCCTTCTCCCGGAGACATGTATTGTGAATGACCAGGTGGAGTTGTCTGTTTGATTTTCTTTCTGTATTTTGACCATTTTTTCTAAAAAGCAAATTCCAGAGTCAGGGAAATCTTTTTTGATGAATAACAGCGTCATGAAGTAGGTAGTATCAACACCCATAGTCCTACAGATGAGCAAACTGAGGTCCAGAGAGCTTAAATGATTTGCCAAAGGTCTCAAGTGAGCAGCACAGCTGGGGTTCCAGCTCCAGCAGTTAGCTGTTTGGCCACCTTGATACACTGTCAAGTACTTGAGTGCCCACTCTTTCGGGAAAGGACACTAGATGGTCCCCAGAGAGGCTCAGCCTCATGAAACAGATAACATGAATATGCGTGATCACCAGAGTCATCAACCTGAGTACCTACAGGGTGCAGCTGGCACCAGAACGGCTCTTTCCATGCTTCCCCTCCTTTTGCCACATTGAGTGGGAAGTCTAGGACAAGGGAGCCCACTGCAGCAGGGCCACCAAGGACTCGAGGGGACTTAGATCACCTACATTGGGTCTCAGTCTTGTCACCCCAACTTTACAGATTAGGAAGACTCTCTGATTTGAGAGATTAAGGCCCCCACCTTTTTATTTTTGGGATGTGTTTTTTCGAGATAGGGTCTTGAGGAACTATTTGCCAAGGCTGGTTTCAAACCTCGATCCTCCTGATCTCTGCCTTGTGGGTAGCTAGGATTACAGGTGTGAGCCATCTGTGCCCAGCTTAATTTTTTTCTTTCTTTTTTGGTGGTACTGGGGTTTGAACTTAGGGACTCATGCTTGCTAGGCAGGTGTTCTAACCACTTGAGTCATGCCTCCAGGCCTTTTGTGTGTTTCTGTTGAGAATTTTTGATTCTCAAGACTGGCCTTGATCCTCAGTCCTCCTCCTGATCTCTATGAGCCACTGGTGCCCGGCTTGCCCTTTATTTTCTTACGTGATAGTTGAAGGCATATGCAGATCTTCCCCATACCGATAAGTCTCCCAGTTCTCACAGACAATGAACTTTGCCATCTGAGCTGAATCAAGACTCCACCCTGCCTAGGAGGAGAGGCACAGAAGAGGTGGTTCTGTGCCAGGGAGGTATGTGTTCCTGTCACTCTGAGATGATAGACAGGACTAACACCCACTGGTACCACTTCCTTTTTTTGCCTGGTGCTCCAAGACCTAGGCTTTCATTTCTAACAAAAACAGCATAAAGCATCCAGCAAGAATCTGGGATCCTGGTCATGGTTTTCAAGTGCTCATTTTTTTCTCTGTGGGGAAAAAAGGTTCCTTCCCTGGCACTGGGCCCAGCAGGACAAGGCTTTTCCTTGGGGGCCCAGAACAATTGCTGGACAGCACAGCATGAGCCTGAAATCTTGCCTCTTGCCCCCTCCCATTCTGATGTGCACACTGTCACCACACCCCGTATCCTATCTTCTGTGCTTCACTGAAGGCTGTCTGGTGCCTGGTCTGTGTGGGGTGTGGCCAGAGTGCCCTTTGCTGCCATGATGCTGTTTCCACCAAAGGCAGTAACATTTGGCTAGTTGAGCAGACACACTTCTGACAAGAGCACAGTCTGATTTTTTTTTTATAACTGGAAACTGCTTCCCCAGGGCAACCCAGATCTTTCTGGGATGTATTTATTTCCAACGCATTTCCTTGGTTTTTGTCCCATTTCCTAAGCTTATAAGCAGCACAAGGGCTGGCAAGCTGGCCTGATCCCTGCCATAGCGTAACAAAGAAAACTGAGCCCAGAGGGCCTTCCCAAGGTCACAGACAGCAACCACAGCATTCTCCTCAGAGCTGAAGTGGGAGGGAGACTGGGTGAATTCTGAGGCAGGGGAGGCTGTGCAAGCAGGAGAATGGAAGCTACTGCTGGCCCTTCCCTTGGGGATGACCAGGAGGGCCAGTGAGCCCTGGCTGCACAGCCTAGATCAGGCTCAGGCCTCAATCTCTTGCTTCCCAGCTACATAGCCCTTGAGCTTCCTGAAGCATCAGTAAAATGGGACAAATAACCCTCACCCTGGCAGACCTCACAAAAATCTAGGGCCAGGATGAGAATGAAATGGCTTTATAAAGATCATGGTGGCTCATGCCTGTAATCCAGTTTACTCAGGAGGCAAAGGCAAAGACTATAAGTTAAGGCCAGCCTGGGCAAAGTTAGTGAGGCCCTATCTCAAAAAAACCAAAAACCCACAAAAGGCTGGGGACATGGCTCAAGTGGTAGAATATTTGCCTAGCAAGCATGAGACTCTGGGGTCAGTCACCAGTACCCGAAAAAAAAAGAAAAAAAAGGCAGGCGGGGGGGTGCTTTTCTATTTCTAAGCATAAATTCCTCAGTGAGGACTAGTGGGCTCTGGCATGGGAATGGGTTTTGTCTGTGTTAGCTGCCCAGAGGCCTGTCTCCCCTATAGGCGCCAGGAACGACAACGATTTGCTGAGTACCAGGCAGAGTTGCAGAGTATCCGGCACCGGGTGAAGGCGCGGCCCTTTCCTGTTCCAGCAGGCCATGCAGGTGAGGGCAAGCAGACCATAGCCCTGGGAACCCTGAGACCCCTTGCTAATTAGAGCCCCACAGTGGCCTCAGGAGCCCTTGGGGAGAGCAGAGACTCCTTTCTTTTTCCTCTCTTTTTTTTTTTTCCAGCGCTGGGGCTTGAACTCAGGGCCTCACACTTGCTACGCAGGTGCTCTTACCACCTGAGACACTCCACAAACAGGAACCCCTTTCTTTTTTCCCCAGACAAATGCCCGGCTCACTGTGACCCGACGATTCTCCCAGGTGTTGTCAGCACTGGGAGTAGATGAGGAGCAGCTGCTGGCTGAAACAGGAAAGGGGCACACAGAGGGCACTTCCCAGAAGCCCAGGTGAGGCCACTGGCTGGTCAAGGACTGGCTCTGCCAAGCTGTGGTGGGAAAGGGTGCCAACACCAGCCTCTGGTCCCTGCAGGGTCTCCTTCATGTCATCCAGGAAGAGGGGGCCAGAGTTGTTCCCACTTTCCAAAGAAGAAACTGAGGACCTGAAGGGCAGGGCCTAGCTTAAGGATACAGGAGCCTAATCAGTGGCAGAGCTAGTCTGGGACTCTGCAGCCATCTGAGCAGCCACACACCAGGCCCCCATTAGGGGCTGGTGCCAAACTAGTCACCCATGTACACTGTCTGCTACACCTTAGAATAACCTCGTACAGAGAACGGATTATGACATCCACTTCCCATAAAGGAAACATGAAGGGGAGTCACTAGCCCAGGTCACACAGCAATTCAGCATAGGATCTGGATTTGAACCCACAGCGTCAGTGTTACCTCAGGCATGGGGTGGGGCGCTTCAGAGCCCATCAGTTTCCATCTGTGTCTTTAAGGAGCCACCGACCAATGGGGGTAAGAATGAAGCCCTCTTCTCAGAGTCCCCCAAGGACAGAATCCACCGGCAGCCAGCCTGGCAGGCCCTCCTCCCCCAGCCTGAAACCAGAGAAATCCCCAAGATAAAAATTAAATACTTTATGACAAATACAGTGTGGGATTTCTGGGTGTGTGTGTGTGTGTGTGTGTGTGTGTGTGTGTGTATGTGTGCTGTGGGTTGGGAATAGAAGGTGACAAGTAGGTGGCAGCAGGCTTAACTATGTCCCCACAGCCCCCAGATGCTCCCCACCCAACACATCCATCTCTTGTCTCTGTGCCTGACAAATAGGACATCCTGAAAAGCAACAGCTGAGACTTCTCCATCCTGTCTCCAACATATATGCTGGGGCCCTAGAAACTCAACAGTGCACAGAACACTTGGACCTTGTATATTAGGACTCCCAGTCAGTTCCAAGGGAGGTGGCTTTAAAAGGGGCATATACAGCCACGGAGTGGCTCAAGTGGTAGAGTGCTTGTTTAGCAAGCATGAGGCCCTGAGTTCAAACCCCAGTACTACCAAAAACGAAAAAAACCCAAAACAAACATAAAAACTTAATTGTGTCAGGTGCCAGTGTCTCACACCTGTAAACCTAGCTACTCAGGAGGCAGAGGCAGAGATCAGGAGGACCACGATTCAAAGACACACACACACACAGGTTCAAGGTGTAGGTTCTGAGTTTAAGCCCCAGTAAGGCAGTAAGGGGTTTGGGGGAGAAGGTGAAGATCAGGAGACTCACAGCTCCAGGTGAGCGGAGGCAAAAAGCGAGACCCTTTCTCAAAAATACCCAACACAAGCCGGACACTTTTGGCTCACGCCTGTAATCCCTGCTACTCAGGAGGCAGAAAGAAGGAGGATCGCGATTCGAAGCCAGCCTGGGCAAAGAGCTCGAGAGACCCTATCTCGAAAAATACCCAACCACAAAAGGCTGGCGGAGTGACTAAAGTGGTAGAACATCTGCCTGGAAAGCTTGAAGCCGAGTTCAAATCTCAATACTGAAAAAAAGGGGAAGGGCGCATTCTATACTCTAAGATGCTAGGATGGGGTACACTAGGAGCCCGCAAACACAACGATTGCTGGGTGGGGATGTCAGGAGGGATTGCGTGAAGTGGGCTTTCGGGCTTTTAAGTCCCAGGAATGTTAAAGCCTCTCCAAGAAAAAAAGAAAAAATTCGCGCACAATTTCACGACGTTCACAGGCTCATCGTAAGTTATAGAGCTGCTTAGCAGTCCACAGAGCGCAGGATGAAAAGACTCAATCCAGGGATTGTGGGAGCGCAGCGTTCGCTGAGAATACTGGTTATGGGGGATCAGGCGCTGGGCTGTGGATCTGCGGGTCTCAAAGGAAAAAATACTGTAACCCGATCGAGTTACAGCCCCGGCCACACCCATAGACTAGGACTCAGTGGAGAAGAGGAAGCCGTCCTCTTGTGAGGCAAAGAGGCTTCGCGGCTAGAGAGGCCAGGAAGGGGTTTTCGGCTCCGGGAATGCAGGATTAGAAGGTCTCCAGGTCCTCATGGTTCAGGGATCCAGTCTATCCCAGACAAGGGAGGGTCAATTATGTGACCTGTCGTGGGGGGGGGCGCATGCGCAGAGAGTCCGGGGTGGCCGCTAATGCGCAATCGGCTCCGATCGGGCCTTCCCATGGGCCTTTGGGGCAGGTTGGCGGCAAACGGCGGAAGCAGCCCCTCTTGGTTTCCGGCAACAGGACAGCGGCTGCCGTACGACCCGGAAGTGTTTCCATTTTGCGTCGTCGGGGCTTGGAGGCAGCCCGGTTCCAACCCGGCTCCAGCCCGGCTCTAGGTGGACATACCACCATGGGGTCGTCCAAGAAGCACCGTGGAGAGAAGGAGGCGGCCGGGACGACGGCGGCGGCCGGCACCGGGGGTGCTAGTGAGCAGCCGCCGCGGCATCGGGAGCACAAAAAACACAAGCATCGGAGTAGCGGCGGCGGCAGTAGCGGTGGCGAACGACGGAAGCGGAGTCGAGAGCGCGGGAGCGAACGCGGGAGCGGGAGACGCGGGGCCGAAGCTGAGGCCCGTGGTAGCACGCACGGGCGGGAGCGAAGCCAAGCCGAGCCCTCTGAACGGCGCGTGAAGCGGGAGAAGCGCGATGACGGATACGAGGCCGGTGAGGGTGGGGTCTGGGCTGGGAGCGGGGCTGGACGGGGATCCCTGGGGACGCGGGACTTGAGTGTGCGGGCATGTGTGCGAACATGTGTACGAGGCTGTCCAGTTACAAGGCACCTCGAGGCGTTTTTGGTTTTTTCTTTTTTTTTGGTTGAACTGGGGTTTGAACTCAGGTCTTTGCGCTTGCAAAGCAGGCGTTCTACCGCTTGAGCCGCACCTCCAGTCCATTTTGCTCTGATTGTTTTGAAGATACGGTCTTCTCACGAACTATTTATGGCTGTGATCTTCCCGGTCTCAGCTTCCTGTATAGTTGGGATTACATGTGTGAGCTTCTGGCGCCCGGCTTTTCCAGGCTCGTTAAAGGGTCTTCCAGTGCTTGTTAAAGGGTCTTCCTCCGACTGGTATTAAAGACTGATTCCCTCCATTAAGCTCCATGGAGACCGAGGCACATCGCAGTCCTTAGTAAATGTGTTAGATGAATGAATGAAGTGGTACCAGCGAGTACAGAGGAAAGGAAAAAGCTGGTATTGGGCCAGTCCTGTAGAGCTCATGATAGAGACATGAGGCAGGAAGGCAGGTTGGGGTCTGGGCTCCAAGGACCTTGTTCAACAGGTAGGCCCTGTTAAGAGATTTGGACTTTGCTCCAGTGGTGGTGGGGAGCTATGAATTTCAGTTGGGGAACCAGTTGGTCAGATTCATATTTTGTAAAGACTGTTGCATTGAGAATTTGGTCAAAGATTGGACCGGAGGCCCAGGAATCAGGAGGGCAAGAAGTGAATCAGGTGAGGGCTAATGGTGCCCTACTCCAAGCCAGTGGGATGGAGAGAAGTGGACAGATTGAAGCGGTGTTTTGGAGGAGGAATTAACAGAACTTGGTGCCTGATGAGAGGGAAAGAGAGAGGGAGAAGGAAGAGTGAATGACTCCTTGAATTTTGAGTTGAGCATCTGTTGAAATTGAGGAGTGTGGAAGAGAAGCAGTTTGGAGACAGGAGGAAAGATAATGCAGTTTGGGAGTGTTGAGGTTGGTGTGGAGAGAGAAATGCAGGGTTTGGCCTAATGATTTGGGATTTGTGAGTATTTAGGTGGTCAGCAAAGCTGCCTGAGAGAGTGTGGAGTAAGGAGCTAGGGTTAGGAATACCAGTAGTTCAGTTGTGCACAGAGGAAGATGCTACAAAAAACAAACAAACAAAAAACCAGAGTAGCCAAAAAGGAAGAAAAAGCAAAGACTGGGGTTAAACGTATAGGAAGAGAGAATTACTGGAAGAAGGAGTGATCAGCAATTCACATACTACAGGAAAAAAGAGAATCCATGGGATTTGGAAAAAAGGAGGCTGGTGATCTTGGAGAGAGCCTGCAGAGGGTTTGGTTCAGGTAGGGAATAGAGGGAACCTGGGGAATTAAAGGTAGGCTGTGGTGTGGGAATGCAAGAAAGGGTGTGCTGTGGTGGTGACTGGATGGGGAGGTAGGTGTCCTCGACCTCTCTTTGGTGATCAGTGAAGTTATCTGCTGTTTGTGTGATGGGTGGAGGAGCTCCAAAATGCCTGTTTATCCATGTCCACAACATCTAGCACCAAATAGGCACGAGTATTTCCTGATGGCACAAATTGCATGGAGGACAAGATCATGCTGCTAACACATTCCCTGCTGTGTGGGAAGAAACACCCTAAAATGATAACTACTGTGGAGGTCAGGGCAGGGGAGTTGATTCTGATCAGTAATTGAACAGGGCTTCCTAAAGGAGGCTGTGGTCAATCTTTACATTTGGATGGGATTCTGTGAATCAGAGCAAGACCAGAGAGGACAGTTCAGGTTGAAGACAGAGAATATACACAGTGGTCAGGCCACAATAAGGGATGCAGAAAGTTGGGCCTCTTGGGTCAGAAAAGGAAGATGTGTAAAAGAGGCAGCGCTCTATAGACAGGGACTCTGGTAGAGGAGCTCCAGAAGAAGGCCACTGTTCTTTAGTGTCACCAGTGGCCCAGGTGCTGGTGAGGGGCCCTTCATCTTTGACCCTGCAGCTGGATGCATTTCAGCCCCTAAGCTGTGTTTCTTGTTACAGCTGCCAGCTCCAAAACTAGCTCAGGAGATGCCTCATCACTCAGCATTGAGGAGACCAAGTAAGTATAGCTCCCTTATGTTCCTATTTTCTTCTGAGACAGGCATCTCTGGAGCAGCTTTCTTACACCAAAGCGTGCCAGTTGGAGGTCAATATGAGTCTTTCTACCAGCCATTGGCATTCCAGAGGGGGAATCTAAGACCCAACAGGAAGGGTGGTATTAATTGGTTGGGGCAGGCCAGGCCTAGTACCCTTGTTCCCTGATCTGGAGACCAGTGTCTTCTCAGTGCCCTAGGCTGCCTGGGTCAGGGCCTGTGTTTAGGACCCTTAGAATCACCCAGTCTGTCCAGAAATGCGCTCAATATCCCGTTTCTTTGGCAGCATCTAACACTTAAATTTCTTGTCCTTAGTAAACTCCGGGCAAAGTTGGGGCTAAAACCCTTGGAGGTCAATGCTGTCAAGAAAGGTGAGTGTAGGGCTGAGGATGGGGCTAAAGGGGGTACCTGGGTGTGGAAGAGGTCATCTGAAAGGGTCTTTGAAGAAAGCGGGGTTAGAGTGCAGAGGCAGCACCATTCAGGGGCACTGTATGTTTTGCCAGAGGGTTTGTGGACCCTCCTTGCTGTCAAAGTGGGGGTCTGGGTATGTTTGCTCTGGGTGACCTTATTGTCCTCAGCTAGCTAGGAGGGCTGTAGACAGGCTGAGGGTCATGCACGGTAGCTGCAAACTGTCTGGGTGATGTTTGTTTGTTTTAAACTCCGTTATCTGAGGGACTTTAGAATGCAGAGAGGGTCCCGTATTGCTGCATGGGGTAACAGCAGTGTGGAGGTAAACTGGGAGTGGGGAGGTGAAAGATTTTTCCCCCTCTCCTGGCCCCTTCTGGCCCCTGCGCTGGAAGGGGCAGGGTGAGTGGCTCCCTCCTCTCCCCCACCAGCCATGGGCAGGCATAGCCTCACGTCTGGGCCCCCCTTCCAGAGGCGGGCACCAAGGAGGAGCCCGTGGCAGCTGATGTCATCAACCCCATGGCCTTGCGACAGCGAGAGGAGCTACGGGAGAAGCTGGCGGCTGCCAAGGAAAAGCGCCTGCTGAACCAAAAGTTGGGGTGAGAGTGTTCTGGCCAGCGGGAAGCGGAGGAGGCTGTTGGCCTTTTCACTTTATCGGGCGGGGCTGGCCTTTCATGAATGTCACTGTCTCTGTTTAGGAAGATAAAGACACTGGGGGAGGACGACCCCTGGCTGGATGACACCGCAGCCTGGATTGAGAGGAGCCGGCAGCTGCAGAAGGAGAAGGACTTAGCAGAGAAGAGGGTGAGCTGCTGAGTGGCAGGGGATGGTTGCCAGGTGCTTCTGGGGGCTGCCTGGACAGTGAAGCAGGAGCCTGTTCTTTGGGAGGTGAGATGGCTCAGAGAGGAGAAGGCCTGTGGTCAGAGTGCTTGCTCTGGGCTCACTGCAGCTTGCCTACAAGGCTTGTCCTTTTTGCACTGCCACTTGGTAGAGTCATGGGTGTTTTTGGTGGTGTTGAATGGCCTGAAGTCTCAGGTCACTCCTCCCTTTCCCATAGGCCAAGCTGCTGGAAGAGATGGACCAAGAGTTTGGCGTCAGCACTCTGGTGGAGGAGGAGTTTGGGCAGAGGCGGCAGGTGAGGCTGTAACTGCTGGGGAGGGAGGGAGGAGGGGGTAGCACTGTGGCCTTGGGCCTTGGTGTTGGGGTCCCAGGGTTGGGTGGGTTGCAGCTCCTGATTCAGCTGGACCCTCCTGTAGGACCTGTACAGTGCCCGGGACCTGCAGGGCCTTACCGTGGAACATGCCATTGATTCCTTCCGAGAAGGGGAGACTGTGGTCCTCACCCTCAAGGATAAAGGTGAGCTGAGCTGGGTGCTCTGGGTGGGCATGGGACCCAGGCAGTGGAGTCCAGACTAGCTGGAACAGTGCTGCTTCTACCCTGTCCCAGGTGTGCTGCAGGAGGGGGAGGACGTGCTAGTGAATGTGAACCTGGTGGATAAGGAGCGTGCTGAGAAGAATGTAGAGCTGCGGAAGAAGAAGCCTGACTACCTTCCCTATGCTGAGGATGAGACAGTGGATGACTTAGCACAGGCACGATGGGATAAAGGGTGGTGAGCATGGGGTGCCAAAGAGGTGGTAGTTCCCTGGCTTCTCAGGAGCTAGTCTAGGTCTCAGCCCATACCTTTTTCCTTGTAGCAAAAGCCCCGCTCTATTCTGGCCAAGTATGATGAAGAGCTGGAGGGTGAGCGGCCGTCCTCCTTCCGTTTGGACCAAGGTGGCACAGCTGATGGCCTGCGGGAGCGGGAGCTGGAAGAGATCCGGGCCAAGCTACGGCTGCAGGCTCAGTCTCTGAGCTCAGCGGGGCCCCGGCTCGCCTCTGAGTATCTCACTCCTGAGGAGATGGTAAGCCCTCATTGCTTTGAACTGGCACAGTTGTGCCCCTCAGGTCGTGGGCTGCCAGTATGCACTCAGGAGGGAGGCGAAGGGTTGACACAGTGCTTGGCTCCTGGGTGAGTGGTAAGTGGTAAATGACAGCCTGGGGGAGGTGCTGGATGTTGACGAAGGACCGTTGAGCCAGATAGACTGAGTTTGTGTTCCTGCTCTGCCATGCGGTCAGCTTGTGCCTTGGGTGAGTCATTTAACAGTCTGGGCACCCATCTGGAATGGCGATGGCAGCAGACATCTCCTGAGGCATGCTGCAAGGAGTATAGTGTGGGTGGATTGTGATGTTCCAGGTGCATGTGATACTGCACCAGGAGGGACTGTGTGAACAGAAGCAGTAGTGTCTTGGCTAAGTGGGGAGGAGTCCTAGAGCTCAACAGCCAGGGTTCTCAGCCCTCTGCTTCCCCTCTTAGGAGCGGGACAAACTCGGGCAGGGTACTTGACCTGCCGCAGTATCCTCAGCTCACGGTGGAGTGGTAATAGGGTTGTGTGGGAATTACTGGGGCCAGTGCCTGGCAGAGTAACCCCAAGGAAGTGGTAATGGTTGAGGGCTGTGGTGGCCTGCATCTCCCTCCTCACATCTCTCCTCTCTCCCCTCAGGTGACCTTCAAAAAGACCAAGCGGAGGGTGAAGAAAATCCGCAAGAAGGAGAAGGAAGTCGTAGTGCGGGCAGATGACTTGCTGCCTCTTGGGGACCAGACTCAAGACGGGGACTTTGGTTCCAGGTGAGCTTGGGCACAGTCGTGGGACATGAGGGCTGGGCCAGCCTTAGAGCCGACACTCACTGGAGGGGCCTCCTTCTAGATTGAGGGGTCGGGGTCGGCGCCGAGTGCCTGAGGCAGAGGAGGAGGCCCCAGAAGATGAAGAGAAGGAGCCTGTGTCCCAGCCTCCGCCATCAGATGACACCCGTGTGGAAAACATGGATATCAGTGATGAGGGTAAGGGGCTGGCCAGTGGGCTGTGGAGCAAGCCTTAGGGCCAAGGAGGTGGTTCGAGCCTTCGTATTCCTGTTTCTCCAGAAGATGCGGATGCTCCACCGTCAGGGTCCCCAGAGGTACTGGAGGAGGATGAGGCAGAGCTGGAGCTACAGAAGCAGCTGGAGAAGGGACGCCGGCTGCGGCAGTTGCAGCAACTCCAGCAGCTTCGAGACAGCGGTGAGAAGGTGAGGTTGGGCACAGGATGATGGGGGTGTTGGGACCTGACCCTGTGAGCCTGTATTGTCACATTCCCTAAATGCCTCATTGCGCTTTAGGAGCAGGTTGTTAGGTTCCTGCAGCAGCTTTGCTGTGTGGTACTGTTCAGTGATGACTTCTACTGCCCTCTTTCACATACTGAGGGTGTTGAGTGCCAACTGCAAGTGAGGCACTGTCTTTGGGTGGGGAGGCACTGGTGAGCAGGTCAACCCTGAGGCCTGCGCTCACAGGGCTTGCTTTGCCGTATTGGGGACAGCAGTGACCAGGAAGCATGGGCAGTAGTAGTTTCTGAGAGCGAGGTAGACAGTGAAATAGGACTGAAGGGAATGCTGCAGTGTCATGGGTCAGTGTTCAGGATGTCCTCTCGTGGGTAACATTTGAGCTGAAACTTGAGGAACCCAGAGATAGGGGTGGAGGCAGCGGGGGTATCAGATGTCTTTAGGAGAAATGACCTTAGAACCAGGAAGGCTGGATCAGATATGAGCTGGTGGGTGAAAAGCTGAGTTGAGAAGTCAGTGTGGCTAGTTCATGTGGGGTCCCAGGCATTGCTGACCCTCCCAGGGCACCTACATGAGCTGGACACTGTAGACGTGGATATGATGTCCACTTCCAAGGAGCTTGGAGGGAGAACTCCAAGAAGGGAGAGACACTAGGTGTCTTCATATATGGGGGTGTGAGGGTTGGGCATCTGGCCTGACAGGGAAGGCAGAGTCTGCCCCGCCCTGTGCTTTGTTGCTGGCTCTATAGCACTGGCACCCAGTGGGAGCTCTTAGAGAAAAGCAAGACATGAAAAGCCAGACTTGGGAGGTGAAGAGTGGCCATCTTCCCTGGGCCTTGGGGAGAGGCTCTGAAAGAATAAGTCCTTGAAAGGGGAGTGCTAGGCAAGAAGTGGGAGACAGGAGGAACCCTGGAGAAGGGTGGGGAGGCTGAGGTAGTGTGTGAAGGGCTTTGGAGAGGGTTCAGAATGGGCCTGGTCAGGAAGTGCTGTGTAGGATTTTGGTTGTTAAAGAGCAGTAGGGAGCCATAGATAGGTTTGGAGCAGAAAAGTGATCTAGTGAGATCACTAGATAGTAAACAACAGAGGACCAGAGAGGAAGTGGAGACCAATTGAACCAGTTGGAAAGTTTTCTGAGAGTGGTGGGAATGGCTTGCTACTGCCACCAGGGAGGATCTGTGGGTTTTCAGGTCTTGGTGGCATCACCCCAGAAACTTCGGGTCTGCCCACAGCTGCTCCCTCCCCCAGGTGGTGGAGATCGTGAAGAAGCTGGAGTCCCGCCAGCGTGGCTGGGAAGAGGAGGAGGATCCTGAGCGGAAGGGGGCCATCGTGTTCAATGCCACCTCAGAGTTCTGCCGCACCTTGGGGGAGATCCCAACCTATGGGCTGGCTGGCAACCGGGAGGAGCAGGAGGAGCTCATGGTGGGTCCCTCCTCCCGAAGCCGCTGGCCTGCTCTGCTTACTGCCCGGGGCTGCTGGTCCTCATGACAAGCCTGGTGCTTGGGGGCAACTGGCTGTGGTAGGTGCCCACGCTGACCTTGACCTCTGGCCCCAGGACTTTGAACGGGATGAGGAACGCTCAGCCAACGGTGGCTCTGAATCAGATGGGGAGGAGAACATTGGCTGGAGCACAGTCAACCTGGATGAGGAGAAGCAGCAGCAGGACGTGAGGATGGGCAAAGGATATGGGCTGGACATGGTTGGGGACTGCGCTCTGAGGGACCTGGGGCAAGTTGCCTGGTGTCCTAGAGCCTCTGTCACCTCATCCATAGAATGGGCTCTAAAGCTTCAAGGCCTAGCTGGGAACTAAATGAGGCTTGTCCCATGGCCTGCCTGGTGGGGATGACTAGTGGGTAAGGGGGCTGAGAAGAGCCCATGTGATTGCTCATGTCTCCCTCCCTCCATGTGCCATCCCCAGTTCTCTGCCTCCTCCACCACCATCCTAGATGAGGAGCCCATTGTGAACAGAGGGCTGGCGGCTGCCCTGCTCCTGTGTCAGAACAAAGGTGCGGGCCTTGGCGGCTGGGTGCTGTGGCAGGGAAGGGCTGGGTGGGTGCTCTCAGGTGAGGCAGATGTAGCACAGCATCCTTAGGCCTCTTGACTACCTCTTCCTCTCACTCCCAATAACATGAACGGCTCCCCAGAACCCTGACCCACTCCTTGCTCTTTCCCCTGGTTCTTGGAAGTCACAGTAGCATTTGTCTCTCTTCTGTGCCTTCAAGACTCTGTGTCCTCTGGTAAGGAATGGGGACAGGTTGAAACATCAAGACTCTGGTGTCAGGATCCCAGCTCTGCCATGTCCATGGCTAGGGACTGACTTTCCTTAGTCTTTCGTATGTAAGATGGGCCTGATGTCTTTACCTCTCCAGCAGGACTGGGAGGGCCTGTACCACTGCACCAGTGTGTGCTGGGGTGCCAGGTCTGCCAGGCCTGCCCGCCCCTCACGCTGCCTAGGGTTCTCTGAGGGGTGGACCACCTGGAGTCTCACAGTCCCTTTATCCCCAGGACTGCTGGAGACTACAGTGCAGAAGGTGGCTCGGGTGAAGGCCCCCAACAAGTCACTGCCCTCAGCTGTGTACTGCATCGAGGACAAGATGTGAGTGTGTGGGGGCACGGGGCAAGCTGAGGGACTGGTTCCAGCTCAGGGTTGCTGGGAATACGGAGTTGGTGGTGGGCAGCTCACATTGAGCCCCTTTATCTTGGTTCAGGGCCATTGATGATAAGTACAGTCGGCGAGAGGAGTACCGGGGCTTCACCCAGGACTTCAAGGAGAAGGATGGCTACAAGCCCGATGTTAAGATTGAGTACGTGGATGAAACAGGCCGGAAACTCACCCCCAAGGAGGTAGGTGGGGCCCTGTACAGACAGGGTCAGGCCACGCATTCACCACCACCATCATCCCACTCCGCTGGTGAGACAGGTCCATAGAGGCAATGTAGTGCTGCAGGGTTCTCGTGGGGAACCTGTGAGGTGGTGGAACCTCTTTGGCTCTGTTTCTGTATGGCAGGCACAGTACCATAGGAGGGTCTTATGGTGCTTTTGTATCTCTACCCACTTGCAATAGCAGAAGCCCCCTGCCCTCAGGGCCACTATCCTTATAGGCAGTGTTAGTCCCTCTTGACAACTCTGCTGACTCAGTGCGCAAGCACTGCCCCCCACCCCCGAAATCCAGCCCCCGCCCCCACATGGCAGGCCTCACTCCAGATCCCCAGAGCCCTGTTGCAGTACATCTGTCTCCAGAGCCAGTCTTGCCACCTCTGCGTGACCCCTGAAAGTGCTGGACTCAGCCCTTTTCCTGCCTCTGGACCTAGCACTGGGTTGGGTGAATCTGTACTCCCACACCCTGTTGTGAAGCTCCTTGTGAACACAGGTGGCACTGGCCTTGCCTGGGGTCCCTACAACTCCTGACTCCTGCCCTGTTTCCCCAGGCCTTCCGGCAGTTGTCTCACCGCTTCCATGGGAAGGGCTCGGGCAAGATGAAGACAGAGAGGAGGATGAAGAAGCTGGATGAGGAGGCGGTGGGTGCTTAGGGGTGTAGGGGGCTCTGCATCTGCTGGTGCCGGGGGGATGTGCAGGGTCTGCTCTGCTCTGTGCTTACTGACCCCTACTCACAGCTCCTGAAGAAGATGAGCTCTAGTGACACGCCCCTGGGTACCGTGGCGTTGCTCCAGGAGAAGCAGAAGGCCCAGAAGACCCCTTACATTGTGCTCAGTGGCAGTGGCAAGAGCATGAATGCGTGAGTGGCAGGCACAGCCAGACGGGGCTGGGGGGAGTGGGGGAAGCCGTGCCCTCTTCTCTAGCCTCACACCCCTTTTCTCCCCACAGGAACACCATCACCAAGTGAAGTGGCTTCCCTTCCTGTCCTCTCCCTAACTGTAATGTTAAATAAAGTTCCCTCCTTATTTTTTCCTCCCTGGTCATGGTGTAGATTCCAGGGCTGGACCTAGGAGTGGGGTAGGCTGGGCCTCAGCTCTGTGACCTCCAGCATGTCTCTGAACTTCCCTGAGCCTCAGTTCTCCCATTTGTGCAGTCAAACCCCCTGTGCTCCATGTAACGTGAAAGGCTTCACTGAGCTCATGCATCCTCATTCCTCCACCTGGAATTCAGACAGGAGCACAATAGGACATCTCAGAACACACGTGGCTTAGGGCCTGGCTTTTGCCGGGTAAGACACGGACATCAGATGGCATGAATAGTGGGATGGGGTGAAGGGAGGGACCTAGTCTGGACCCTCAAAGCCAGTCCTCTGCCCTGATCTGGGCCAAGCTAGCCACTGAGAAGGTGCTTTGTTCTCTGCCCTCCTTCCACAGGGTAGCCCAGTCCTGGCTGCAGAAGTACCGGTCAACCTTGTATTTAGAGACTTGGGCACCATGGTGTCTCAGGGCTACATAAGTCACTGCCTTGTAATCGCCCCAGACTGTCCAGACTATTGGGTAGGAGCCAGGCTCCTTGCAGGGCAGATTGGCCACCTTCTGTCCTCACTCTCCTGTGCTGCTTTTGCCCCAGTGAAGTGTGAGGTGCTCCCTGGCTGCACCCACAGATCTGAGCCAAGGGACCTGGAGACTTGTCCCAGATGGCTACACAGGAAGGGTGGGCTTCTTTGGGGTGAGCTGTGAAGGAACTTTGGTCAATCATGGGTATGTGAGGGTCCTGGCTTCGAAGGCGACAAGTTGCTGCCTTCAGAGAAACTGGCTACTCTGTCCCCATAAACCCCCAATACATTCCGGTGGGTCACAAATTTTAAGATGAAGGAAACCAAAAAAATAAATTGGATAAAATGGTGAATTTCTAAAAATCTTTTGAGTGGGAAAAATGTAAGCAAGGGACAAAATCCCATTGCCTTAAAGTAAATGATACTGGGCCAGGCATCAGTGGCTCACACCTATAATCCTAGCTACTTCAGAAGGCAGAGACCAGGAGGATCATGGTTCAAAGCCAGCCCAGACAAATAGCTCACAAGACCTACCTAGAAAAACCTTTCATAAAAAGTGAATGGTGGTGTGGCTCAAGGTCCTGAGTTCAAACGCCAGTACTGCAAGATAAAAAGAAAAAAAACACTGTTGGATATGATTGTGTGGCAAGGACCAGAAGCAAAGGCAGGGCACTGTTCCTTCTACTGCCTTCCCTGTTTTGAGTGATTCTCATTCACTTTTCCCTGTGATTATTTCTTCAGGAGGGTGCCTAGGTGCATGTGGTGGGTCTGTGATGGGAATCGTAGTCCATTTCTTTCAAGCCTGTGAGGAGCTCTTGGTATTTGAGACAGTCTGAGACCATCTGGCCAAGGCTCATACCTCATTTTTGCATGGCCATTAGGCCGTGGCTGTCACTTCTACAGCCCGGGGGAGGGGAGGGGGGATAGGAGGGGCAGAGTACTAAAATGCCCTGGAGGCCTGAACCCCAGGAAAGGAAGCAGGGGCCCCAGCTTCACTGCTCAACTAGGGGCAAGGCCCACAATATTTCCCTGACCCAGGGACTCAGGCACGGGGGCGCCTTTAGCATTGGCCTGAGGGCCAATGAGCCCTGGCCGGGGTGAACCAGGTGGCACTAATTTTGTACTTGGCTTCTGCTTTTTCATTTACTGCTGCTGACATCAGGCAAGTTCCCGAGTCTTGTGTTCTCATCTGCAAAATGGCACAAGCTCAGGCCTCTAGAGCTAGTGTGAGACTGGGATGAGAACCATTTTACCAGGTGTAGTGGCTCACACCTGTAATCTTAAGCACTTGGTAGGCAGAGGCAGGAGGATTGCAGTTCAAAGCTAGCCCAGGCAAAGTTAGTAAGTCCTTATCTCAAAAACAAAAAAAACTAGGAGTGTTGCTTAGCATGCACCAGGCCCTGGGTTTATCCTTCTATTGCTTCAAGCAAACATTTATAGTCAGGCTTGCAAATCCAGAGTAAAGGTAGACATAGTGCCTAGAACCAGGGTGTGACCAGATGGGAAGGGGTGGGAGGAGATCTAGCCCCAGTTCCCTCTCCCCATCCAGCACCTTGTAGAGAAGGCACTGGGGCCTCTGTAGCCATCCCGCGTAGAGTTAGACTCTTGGGGTGTGGTGATGGGAACCCCAGGCCCAGAGGCCTGAAGGCCAATACTGGGTGTGGCCTTTTCTCTGAGCAAGGGTAGGCCTGCTCTGGGGTCCTGCTCACTCCAGCTATGCGTACACCATGTCAGAGCCTTTAAACCCAGTGACCATATTCCAGCCTGAAACTCTGCCTGTAAGCTGAGGCTCAGTCTGTGTTCCTACTGGTTATCTGTTAAGAGAGATTTACTATAATATATACAAATAGATGTAGATGATGCTACCTGGGATTTGCTAGAACTTATTCCAGCGTAAATATATAAACAAGAATCAAGTCAGGTGGAGTGGGGACATACAAGGCAGGACTAGCGAGATGATACACTGAAGGTAGGTGGCAGGTCCAAGGGGGTTCAAACATACTCTGAGTATGTTTGAAAATTCCCATTATAAAACTTTATTTAAACAAAACATGTTGACTTAGCAACAGAGAAGTGCACATATAGCCAAACACAGGAACAGCACTATAACAACCCCAGTGTCGATCGGCATGACACACATGGATGTATCTCAGATACAGAGGTAAAGAAGCCAGGCATGAAATTGTACATGCTGCCTGCTTTCATTCCATTCAAAAATAGGCAAGATTGAGTTCTGCTGTTAGAAGTCAGAAGCTGGGTGCTCACTGCTATAATCCCCGGCTACTCTGGAGGCAGAGATCTGGAGAGAAGAATCAGGGTTCAAGGCCTGCCCAAGCAAAAAACATAAGACCCCCTTCCCATATGACAAAAATAGCCAAAGCAAAAAGGGCTTGGAGTGTGGTGATTTAAGTGGCAGAGCATTTACCTAGCAAGCACAAAACCCTGAGTTCAAGCCCCAGTATTGAAAAAAACAAAATAGTGGTTTACAGACCAAAAGGCAGCAGACTGCTTCTGACCCAAGATGACTTCGGTGCCTAAAATGGCCCAGAAAATGTCTTTTCCATGTTAACAACTTCCTATTGTACACAACTAATGATTTTTTTTTTTTTTTCTGAAGCACTTGGCTTTGGGCTTGCTAGGCAGGTGCTCTGCCACTTTGAGCCATTCTGCGGGCCTCATTTTTAACCTCTGCTTATTTTGGATAAGCTTTTTTGCCCAGGCCGGTCTGGACCACAGTCCTATTTTAAGCTTTCTGTATCGCTTCTGGGATGATGGGCATGTTCCACCACCCTACGTCTGTTCTTCTGTAAGTTACCCTTAAGCTTTAACTTGTGCCTTAACCAGTACACTTAGCAGCTCTAGTTCTCTTTAAACCACGTTAAGTCTTTAGAATCCTTTCATTGTGATTGCTCCTTTTGGTCTCGGATTTGTTCTCTGGTACTTAATCTGCTTCTGTGAACTACCCCAAATCAGACATCACTGCCACCAACACTGATTAATGTGCTTATTAGCTTCAGACTACTGCCCTGAAGTTCATCTTCTAGAAGTTTCATTTGTCTGTTGGTGATAAACCACCATATTCATTTGGTCTGGAGATCTCCTGGTCTTGGATGGGGGTAGCTGTCCTAGCTCACAGGGCTGTGGTGAGAATCAAAGCTGCTTACCCATGGCACTGCTCAGAGGCCCAAATACCCTAGCTCATAATTTCAGAGCTTTCAGTCCATGGTCAGAGAAGACAGAGTCAGTCACACTCAGAGTTTCCAGTACCCAGGCTGGGTCTAGCTCCTCCTGCACCCCCCACTTCCCCATCCCTAAACTGTTTTGTGTACGTGTGTGTGTGAATTTGGGTTTGCAGGTGCTCTACCACTTGAGTCACAACTCCAGTCCATTTTTCTCGGGTCATGTTAGAGGTGGTGATCTTGTGAATTTTTCGAACCTCTATCCCCCTAATTTCAGTCTCCCAAGTAGCTAGGATTACAAGTGTGAGCCACTGGCACCCAGCTGCCATCCCCCAACCCCCATCCCTGACCTCTTGACATACTTAATGCTGGTTCTTCAAGACACTCAGCCTGCATTCCAGGTCCAGCCTTCCAGCCTTAACAGGCTTTATGGGGTTCCCCACCCCACTGGGGAACAGTTTGTCTGTCCAGTACACACAAACACTGCTGCCCTTCCTCAGCCCCTGGGCCTTTCCCTGTTCTGGGAGGAAATGGGGTAGAAGGGTGGACATCAGAGAGAGAAGCAAAACAACCCTCTGTGCCAATATATGCCTGACTTTGGGAGTTGGGGGGAGGAGACACAGAGGAAGGGTCCCTAAAATGACTGATTTGTCAGTCATTTGTAAATGTCTGGGGTTATTCTCCCTCCTCATTGACAGACACAGTGAAAGGGGGAAGTAAGAAAGTCCAAGACTGCAGGTCAGAACTCCCAGTCAAGGGTCCCTCAGCAAGGCAGGTGTGGCCAGAGATGGTAAATAGGATTGTGAAGACAGACCTTAATAGTTGCACACCAGGCTGTGACAGACATGAGGTGGTTGGGAGCCATGTGGAAGAGGAAGGTCCTTGGAGGCTTCAGAGAAGAGGAGAGGCAGGGAAAACAGAAGTGTTCAATAGTCCCCACAAAATGATGTTAAAATAGTGTGCCAAGGAGACACCTAGGGTGAAGGAGGAACCCTTCATAGATGGTGGTTCTTAGGTCTCCCCACCCCTATCCCACCCTACAAGGATCCACAGCCCCCTGAGAGTCCTCAGACAGGTGATGGGACATCATGCCATTGTCTGCAACAGGGTTTCTGTAGGGACACACGTAGCCACAGGCACTGTCATGAGTACCCCGCACTGCAATTTGGGTATATTCAAACGAAAAAAAGCAGGGCAGCCCTCCACCACCTTCTAATGGTTCCCTGATCACTTACTCTAGCTTGAAACTATCAGGGAGGGGGTGTAGCCCCAGACACTTCTAACAATGCCTTAGTAAGTGCCTTCCTCTCTGCTACTGTGGGGCTTGCTACCATTTGTAGGCTCCCGTGGACGATCCCCCTCCTGCTTGCTTTCTGTGCTCTGACTACTTTATGGCCTGGGTGGCTGCAGGTTTTCATGGCAGGTGTGAGCCCACACTAAGGCCTTGAAAGTCCCCTTTCCCAGGCATTTGTACAGGTGTCCAGGCTGTTGTCCAAAACACTGAAGGACACTGGCCTGGCCTGACTCTGAGCCAGTCCAGTATACCTGAGCCATCCCCATATACTCTCCAACCCCCGTGGCCTTGCTATGGATACAGCTGACATAACTCCCTTCCCTCACCAGCTACCGAAGGCCACTGCGGTGCTCTGTGAGCAAGTCCCCGTAGATGCTATGGGCTGCTTGTCCTGGCAGACTTTTTCTCTTTGGAATCCCAACTGGCCCCATCTCGGGATGGTCAGACTCTCTCTGAGGGAACTCCCCCTGCCACCGCTTTGGGAGTAGCTCCAGTTGAGGACTTAATGGAATTAAACATGGTCCACCACAGTCCCCATTGCTGTTGGGGCATTTGGACCCTTTAATTGGTCCCTTACTGTATGATTGGGGTAGATGATTTAAGAGTTCTGCACCCAGGGCAAGCCAGGACTGGCCAGGTGGATGTGCTTTGTATGCCCCCGCTGGTAGCTTTTGTAAATGTTGACTGAATTTGTAACCAGAAACTGCTCCTGTGCGTATCAGCCAAGGTCATCAGTTACCAACCTGGGTTGGTTTCTGGTGCTCAGCAACTCATGGTGAACTAACAAGGGTTAAATAGCAAATTGGATATTTTAGCATCATCAGAATGTGTTATAATCATTCTCTTGATTATAATCAAGAGACTTCCAAGATTTTTCCTGATTAGAACTGGCAGCCACTATATACTGATATAAAAGTAAATAAACCAGGTGCCAGTGACTCATGCCGGTAGTCCTAGCTACTTGGGAGGTGGCGATCAGGAGGCTAGAAGTTCGAAGCCAAACCCAGGCCAACAGTTCAAGCAACCCCACCTCAACCAATGGCTGGACACAGTGGTCTGTGTCTGTCACCCCAGCTTTGTAGGGAAGCACACATAGGATTATAAAGCTAGATCCTGTCTCAAAAATAACGGATACATAAAGGGCTGGCAGAGTGGATGAGGTGGCAGAGCGTCTGCCTGGCAAGCACAAGGCACTGAGTTCAGGGGTCCGGTACCTTCGTGGCTCCAATATCCACATTTAAGGGAACACTTTTTTGCGATCCAGGACCTCTCGCATGCACACTAGGTAAGATCTCCTGCACTGGGCAGCAGACAAGGCAGTATACCTAAATGGGCCTCTGCAGCAGAGGAGAGCCTTGGGAGATCGGGACTCCGTAAAGCCAGACCTGCCATTGAGTCTCCTCTCCTTTAGGTCCCATAGTCACATT